AAAAATGAAGGTCTGTATTTGGACAGAGGTTCACTGGAGTAGGTACTTGATAGTAGGACCAGAAGGAATTACTGGCTCACCGAAGCAAAGCTGATTGCGACCGACTTGCATACTCTTAAAATAGATGATTTGCTCCAGTGAATCGCTGTTCATTTCAGGATTGAGCACTTTACATCATGGTGATATCTAAACACATGATGCATACACTGTATAGCACTTGATCCAAGTTGTATCCCAAAGTGACCGGTAAGTTTAGCGGAATTACAGGAGGAATTTGTCTTACTTCCTCACGGTCATACGTGTACTCAGAATCAGCTGATAGCGCCGCCGAACAGACCACTCAAATTATGCTGATGTTTAGGTTAGGGAATATTCACCGTGAGCGAAGCACTGGTGGGCGAACGATGCATGAGCGAACACGCAATGCTAGGTTTTTAATTGGTAGGCCGATTGTTGACCATTAAACTGTGCCTACCGGGCTCGTCGGATACCAAGCCTCGGAAACACAAAGTACTTTTCTATCAGGCGTCGTATGTGGCCGTCTGCTAAGTGAGCCTAACAGGTAACGTTACCTGGGTGCTTGAAAAACTCTATCTTCGGTAAACAGCGAGTATGATGTGCAGCAATGAAACACTGCGAAACAACCAATGTAATCTGAGGGCCGTTCTTGAAAAAATAGGAAGCTTTCCGGAAAGCTTACGCCCAGCGTTCAAGCACCATTCGGCAAGTAGACTGTCAGAAAAAGCGTGATATTTATTATTTTTTGCACAAGCATCTGTTTTATGTACACTAAACACTTCGTTATATTCCTTCTACTCTAGAACACTCACAAGACGCTCATTTATTGGGATGTTATCCTGGTGTCCCTACTCACTCACCGTATTTTGCATGAATGGAATGATGAATCACAGTGCAACCTTAAAGTGCTATGTAGGACATTGTTACTGGCACATGGCTTGTGCCGGCTTAGGTGGTAGGCGGTGATCTATCTTCAGACAAGCTTCCACAATTGGATGGTTCAAATTTCCATCTTTTTGGCAAACATGACCACTCCAACACTTACCTATGGCAATATCCTAAGGCGCCTTGTTGAAACTATGGTAGACAACTGCTAATACTACACCGAAACGCGTCGGAGAATATCGGAAATACAGGGTATTCAGTAGTGTATTGAGGTATGACTGAACACTGCAGAGTGAGTGCATGTGGCGAAGGTGTCAAGCAGTCGGAGCCTGAATGCCCCAACGGTCGATCTCGGTGGTTAAGTGGTAAACGGAAAAACAAAGAAATGAACTCAGCTCACTAAAGCACCACCATATGAACAGCTGACCCATTCGCGATGCAACGACCACTGTCTACCCAGTTGAAAGTCTGGACACAAGCAGCACCTTTCACGCCAAACTGTGTCCAAATCGAAAAAGAATTCAGTACTCGTTATCACATGGCACTAGTTGTTCCTCACATGAGGGGCCAACTTTTTATGATTTGCTGCAGAGACATGAGGCGTCAACCTCCCGTAGCACTGTAGCTAGCCTTCTTCGCAAGGACGGCTTTTCAAGAATGAAGTACGCCTCGTGATACACCAATATCGTGCGTATAGAATTCATGAGAAGTCTTGCAACAACAACCATATATGTTTCACTATAGAATAGGAATAAGTCGTTGTGGGACACCGGTTCAAGAAAGGAAGCGAACAACACTGTAACTGGTAGTTTGATGTCTTTCAAAGTTCCCAGTCATTTCTCGCAGCCCAGTTTGAACTAAGTACTATGTATACATTCAAATATTTCCTCTCATTGCTGAAAGCATCGTTGAACTAAGCTATCAGAGACATTGTTTAATAGTTTAGGCACAATAGACCTGGACAAACTGGTTCACTGAGGAGGAAATAAGTAGAATCATGTTATAAATACACGAAAAATCCTCATCGATTTCTCCGTACGTGAACAGTTTTCTATTATTTATTTAGAGTTAACGCAATCGGGAAGGTGCATACAAATAAATAAAGCCACTATGAACAGAAGAACTTAGGAAATAAATAAAAACAGACGCACGGTTTTCAATCAATTGCAAAGTGTTTGAGACCGATTGGGTAATCATCGTTTCAGAGAGGTATGGTAAACAATCGATGAATTCATTGCTGGGCAAATTTTCACTTTTTACAAAAAAGCTTCGTCAGGCCAAGTGAGTAAGTAATCAGGTTGATTGGGCTTTAAGACAGTCAGAGTCTAAAAGTACAAAATCCAAGCAGTGTAAGATGCAACTGATCACCCCAACCCCTAACCACTCAACCCCCGGCACCCTTTGACGAACACAGGCTAACAGACTATTTCGATAAGGTGTCTTAGACAGAAGAAGCAAGGCCGCAAAATCTGAGTCAATATGAAGACATCTGCCTCCCTAACCGATTTGTCGTAAATGTTAGTCATCCCCACCACCGAACAAACAGGAGCATCAGACTGACGCCCATCACTGATCAAGTCGGCTAGTCATAAGAAAGCTCACGGATTGGTTCTCTGACTGCCTTAAAACCCAATCAGCTTACTTACTCGACCTGACTAAGCTTCTGTCAAAAGATAAACGCTGCTCAGCAGTAAATTCACCAATTGTTTACGAAACCTCTGAAAAGATGCTCAGGCTGTTCGGAAATCTGCTTCTCAAATATCCACTGCCAATCTCCCGACAGTGGCTAATCTTTGTGTGTCTAAAACTTTTAGCAGTTTAACATTCAGGGAATAAAATAAAATTTCTAGAATGACTAGGCAGTTTATCTTTGTAATGTACTACTCATAAGGCTGCTGAAAACCCATCGACAGCCCACGACCGGTTTCGCCCTTCTTGGGGCTCATCAGGTAGGCGCAGTCCGCGGGTTTCCGTCAACCCTATGCTCTACTTGAAACCAAATTGCACGAAATTAGCGAATATACACTCATTTGCAAACTAATTTGGTTTTGCAAATGGGTGTATATTCGCTAACTAGGCAGTTTGTTATGAACACTTGACAAGATGCTATTAGAATCCTGGTTGAATTTTGATTGTCGGTATACTGATAATTTCATCCCATACTCGGTATATGAATGACGACATGTTATTTCGGATGGTATTGGGGTCATCTCTAATGCTAGATTTGCTCGCACAAAAGCTCATACGCATTCAAACCTAGCAAACTTTGACAATGTACTTTGTGAAGCCGGGAAATCGCAGGAAATTGAACGTTGACGTCACACAGCCGCAGCATACAGTATTGGGAAATGTGTCGACAGACTGAGAACGGCTGACCCTGACAGAACCAAAGTATTGCTCACGGAAACCTGATTGGAATGTGTCAACAAACGCAGAATTATTTGCTGCTTATGGCCCGAGCAGTTCTGTTCCCAATCCACTGAACTCATCTTTATTCATCTTGATGTACTTCAGTCGTCGCATAAGGTGTGCGATCTTTTTCAAACGTATATTCACCTGTAGTTAAGGTTTTCCTCAAATTTTCACCAAAATAAACTGCCTCACAGAACCTCTGCCAAGTCATTGAAAAAATTGGCCAGTCGTTCGCGATCCCTGTGGAAAAACTGCATTCACAAAAACCATGATCATAAAGTTTAAAAGATGGCCTGTGCGTCGTCATGTCGGTCTATAATTAACTAATGGCGTGAAAATGAGTCCAGTTCTACAGAGCAACCGTTGATCCCAGCATTTTGTCCTTATATTCCGGTAAACTTCATGAAGATCCTCATCTGATACAAATAGTCGAATAGCCAAATACTGAAAAATGCCCGAAGTAAAAAGTTAGGGGAAACTATCATTCTAGTCTGAAAATATCAAGACCACGTTCAGAATGGCAGATCACACGTCCCAGTGCTAACCCTCGTATCCGTTGGTGCGCGCACTCCTAGTCATTATCCAATTCACTTTTCTATTGCTGTCTTGAATTTTATACGGTTAGGTGATGTCAATCGGTGGGATTCCAGAAGAAGCAGGCAAAAGTCATTGATAGGTGAACGCTAGGTCGAAAGCTACTTGAGGACTCTTCAGGTTATGCTTCCATTTCAGGTGAACTACTGATCGTTAATCTTTCGGGATTGGGTGAAAATGAACATGAGTTACAAGGGGGCCCAAGTTATTTTCGCGCTGTGTGTAGCTAAACTGCTGCGCAATCCCGGACTACAATAGCATTCCGACTACTGAGTGTGGAAAATCACCATCAGCACACCCGTAAGTAATCGAAATGATAGGTCTCATCAGCAGTCTGGTTCACATTTCTACTCAAACTAACTCAAACTTTTTCCTAACATTTTCTCTTGTTTCAAGAAAAATGAATGATGTAATAACTGACTGTAACAGGCTCCTAAATATTGACCGTGAGGGAAGTCAACATGTTGTTAGGTAGACAGGCAAGAACACTGTCATCAGGCATTCGATAGCCAAGAGGGAGAACAGAATATTCACTGCGATAACCGACAGTTCATGAGAGTATACACGATAGTCACAGGTACAAAAAATGAAACAGTCACACGGCCGAGCTGCCGGGCTAGTCGTTTGGAGTATATCAAAAATAATAAAATGTAAGACGAATATCAGGTCAGCTGTATTTTACTCACCGTGCATTGCTGCTTGACTGGAAGCCAGTTTGTTCAGCTCTGGCACAGGCCATAGTGGTGTGGAATCTCCATAATTTGGTAATCTTAAAAGTGCACTCTCTTTGGACTCCCTCCCATCGCAGTGTGTACCCTGGTTGTATGTTGTAGTGGTCGTAGGTAGATGGTAGGAATTTTCTGATCTCAATGGGTCAAAAGGTCCATCGCAAACTTGTCCGCCCAGCTCTGTTGACTCGATACTTTCTTGTCTTTGACTTACTGAAATCTGCGAACGTCTGTTGTAACCGTTCATTAGAATTTGTGCGTGCGTTAGAGCAGAGGAATTTGTACATGTGGCACAGGGTTTTTCCGTTTGTGTACTTTCTTTACCATCCGAACCATTGTTTGGGCTGTGTGCATGGTTGAAGTCAGTGCTGGGTATGGTGTTCCACTGCTGCTTTCCCGAGGAGAATATGTTTTTTGACTTATTCGAGTAATCACTACTTGTGTGTGGACTCAAAAATGATGTTTCCATTTTGCTTGGTTCGCTGACTTCATTCCAATAAGCCTGCATGGACAAATGACTTGAAGGAGCTTTTTGGAGAGAATGCGGAGAGGTATCTACAAGTTGAAAAGAACCATTAGGAAAACTGAATTTCAAAGTGATGACCAGAAGAAAATCTTTAGAATGTGTAGAATCCGGACAATATTACTTGTCACTGGAGGCTTCTTCGCGAAAGAATTAGTCTGCTAATTGTACCAGAGTTTACTCGTGCCTACACTGATAGTAAATAGTTTGAAAACATAATACTAAATAACTCATATCATCAACTATAAATTCTAGGCGTGATGTTCACAAGAGAGCAGGACATCATATAGTAAGATCAACGAATCTAAACCCCAGAACAAACTAACTACCTATATGTTGTGGAAAACAACGCCAGAATTTCAGATCCATCGTTCTTGAGCAACGGGAAGATTGAAGAACGTACCTTGGAAAACTGAACGTGAAAATTCCTTTAGTAGTCCAAACTGTGAGTTATCTCTACAAGTCATATGATGCATGCTGCCTAAAGACATATGACATCAAATTTCATAAGGTTTACTGACCGCTTAGCAGCGAATAAATGGGAACAACAATTTGCTGTCATCTCGTCCCGGGAGCGGTTGTTGTCTCAATCCTCATGTCTGATTTGCGCGCGGTGATGCGGACACAAATCTGTACCCCAGACGACCAATCAGGTGTGGCACACGTGAAGCATGGGATGAATGCACGCTCGAGAAGAGGCATACAGAGGACAAAAACCTGCACATGGGCAGAGATACAATGTGGGCTTATGAGATTGTCATGCGACAGACAATTACGTGCGTGACCACTCTGACTGACCGGTTAATCTGTCCCCCAGTTTCGTGTTGGCACTGCAGTTCGCCGTTCAGTAGCAACTATTGATTGTTCGGGATTCAGCAGATCGAATGCAATGCTGATTCAGCAGGTGACCAAATTGCATACTCATGCTAACCCGGCAACAATGGTCACAGGTCATGTATTCACCTGAGAAACAAATGACCCCTACTTTGTCCTCTGCAACTTGTATTAAACGGAAGATTTTACTCATAGCGATGACCTTAATAATAGCAATAAGAATATGTCCTTCAATCCTCAGATTGACAATTTTATGATGGGTGCAGAGGACAGGGAACTGTGTGAAGCATTTTCACTTGCGTGGTAAAAAAGTGGTCTTTAAACCTGACGAATGTGAAGATCCCAGCCGAAATAATTTAAGAATTTCGTCAAAACAAGATTGAGACATTCGGGGGGTGTCCTTACATAAAAATACTTGAACTGACTGGAAGAAAATTTGATTGTGAGGATCGAGTAAAGTGGGTCTGAAAAGTCATTGGGTAAGCGCGAGCAGAAAAGTAAGCAGACAGAAAGGATCATATGCGGAGGGCTAGATATACGCATGGATATCTGCATGAGACCTGTTCGCTGGATGGATTCACAGCTTAATTTGGGGAGACGAAGTTCCTTCCTACGAATCTCTGATATTAAGGTCGGGGGGATACAAGAAAAGCAGAAGACACAAGTGTACACAAAGGGGCCATACAAGATTGGTTTCCCGATTGAAATTGAGAGTCTCATCAGTTCTGACAGGACCGTTTCAAAATGAGTAGCTCATATTAAGATGAGGGATAAATTTGTACTGCGATATTTGAATCAAGTTTCTTCATGCTCGAAGGAACAACAGTGACATGAAAAAGCATCCTAAACACATTTGGACAACACTCCAGTCCATCAATTATGTGAGGGAGAAGAATATCAACTAACTGAGAACTGACTGTGTGCAGAACTGGGGGCACTTCAAAAGCATTTACCCTATAGAACGATAAACAGACAAGCTCAAAAATATCCGAAGGTCTATGTCAAGTGCAAATAACGTTCTGGTTGACAGATAAGCGTAGTTAGCGATCGAGTCACCAGTCACCAACGTTACCCAAACAAATAGGCTTGTCCCTGCCGTTGCAAAGCCTTATTAACAATGGGTACACCTCCTTAGCCACTGTTGTTTATGTCGTTGTGACACTGAGTATTCGACCTGGAGACCACCGGCGAGAGAAAGAAGTCAGAACTAAAAGGGAGCTATGGGTGTGAACATGTGAGGACGTGTACCGGAATACCTATCCAGTCATGCACTGGTGATGTCACCTCGACTGGTGAACGGATCAACGACCGCCTGACCAACCACTCAAATGTGGTGACACTTGTGAGATTATGCGTTATTTGGCACGGCATTTTGACAATCAGTAGTGCATGTTAGTTATCAACACATGTCACCGAATATGAGTACAAAAACGAAGAAACGGACACAAGAAAGGATGCACAAAGACAATTAAAATGCCATCTGTGGCTCCGATGAACCCTTTAGTTTGCAGAGCTAGATGACGAATTGACATTTAAGGCCTTAGACAACGCATGCAATCCAACAGGCCATCAGCTTGACAATATATAGAGCCTTTGGTGTGACGGTGTGTACTACTGATAAGACATGAGTAGCCAATGTTCTGGCATCAAAGCTTCGTCCTCGCATCTGATGGAAGGTGAAGTTTATTGCGGGAATTGTGGAAGCGCCTTGCAGTGCTCGTTTACTATTGTATAACAATCAGTGAATGCCCAGAGAAGTTTAGAAAACCGTGTGAGAATGTTCAGTCTTTGGAAGCTTTATGCGGATGAGATGTGTACTTTCATAGCTAACAGCTTGTAACTGGTCGGTTCGCGCTTTCTGATCAGTGACTTCGCAGTGGAGGGGTTTGCTCCTTTCATTTGATGCCGTGACTAAGATTTGGAAGAAGAGTCTGTCACCACAACCTTTTGGGGATGGGGATGTGCGGACCTCTCTGGAGGACTTCGAGGATGTTGCGGAGGCGGCTGGACTGGATGCCGACTGGAGTTAGTTTGCGAGACTGAGGACACTTCTCAGAGGATGGTCGAGAGCACCCCCGGGAAGGTGGAATGTGCCGCCATGTATATATCTCATGCAGTGGGTTTCTTCACACTGACCGACCATCAGGAGGCTATGAGGCGCTTCAAGGCGGCCAGAATGGAACCGAGATTGGACCGATGGTGTTCCTCGCCAGTGGATCCTGTCTTGCTGGGACTGGATGCAGTGCCTCGCCAGCAGTTTCTGTCTGACCAGTTCGTCGAGGGTGTGCAGCCAGCGCTTGATGTCCAGTTATGGTTGGCAACCGGCCAGTTGAGCATGGTGCATCTGGCACAGGAATTGGCCACAGCGTCACTAGCCACGTTGCAGTCGCAGGAGAACAGGTATGTTTCACCGATGGAGGACCTGTGGACGAAAATTGACCCAATGCCACCATAAAGACAGAATCATGCAGGCACGTTCGAACGACCCGATGCTACAAGTGTGGTATGTCTAGGCCACTGAAAGAATCAAAGTCGCTGTACCCAACCACCTGTGAACAATAACGCTTTGGTGGTGGATTGCGGTTGATGCTCTGATACAGGCTGTTAACGAGATAGACAGGAAGAGCGAGAGATGTGCCTACTTGATACAGGAGCAGGGGTATTACCAGAGCAGAGAGAGAAGTTGCATGCAACCTGTGAGCGCCAGCTGTCAGGGTAGCGGGTAGATACCCACTGAAAACTGACGGATTGTCAATGCACTCAATGCGCCTAGGCGACAAGTCGGTGTGGCACGAACTCCTGATTGGCCCTGAAATAGTGCGGACAACTTTTAGAACAGATTTTCACAAGGGCACAGAATCCGTGGTGGACCTAAAGCTGGAAAAACTAATGACAAACTGTAGTCCAGTCAAGCTGGAATGTCAGCCAAGCTGCGAACTGGGTGTCTCAAAGCCTCCGTCTTATAATGTGCCGTCAGTACAATCTGTGGTCAAGCAGTCCTCCAAATAGTTCACATGCGATGAGTATCCGTTTGGCTTCTGTTCGTGAATCGAACACAAAACCCCGTCTCTTCCAAAGGCTTTCGACCTTATGACCCCCATCAGCGGCCACTCCATCTACGGGATGAGGTTCATAAGCAGGTTCAAGAGATTTCGACAAATACACTCATTCGCAAATCAATTTGGTTTTCATGAGGGACTCAACTGAACCTCTCGTTTATGATATTCTTCAACTGAATATGCTGTACAGAGGCCGCCTCACGTCTTGGTTGGTACGATATTTTAATGAAGGAAACTACTCACAAGGCTGCTGAAAACTCTTCGGCAGCCCACAACCGATCTCGCCATTCTTTTGGGTCAACAGCTGGGCGATCGGAGTGTGATTTTTAGGGCCGATATTTTGCAAAACGGCCTTTCTCGAGTGAAGACAGCACCACTGCTCCAATAAATATCAAACAGCTGATCGTCTGGAGGAAACACCTCAGTGCCTTCACACTCTTGTCGCAGAGGACAGTACGACGTTACCCCCAGACCGCTTCGTAACACGATTACTCGTAGTACGGGGTCCCGCTGCTCTTAGTCTGGCTGCTCCCCTTGGCCTTGTAGAACGAAGTTCCAGCCACTGTAGCCCGCGGGATCACTGCAGCACTCAAGCCTGACCACCACTTCAAGGTGGCAGCTTTAGGTCGGGACTGGCCTTTCTATACAGATTGATTGCACCTTCAAGACGAAAGTTTCGCAAGCCAGCTAGTGAGAGCGTACCTTTATCTAAAACAGCCCAAAAATGTTAGTCAAAGGGTCAGACAACTAATATCCGTGCATTTATCTTATGAGACCCAAAAACGATGAAGACGATATTTTGGAATCCGAATGCATGTTTACTGTAAGCAAGACCGTCTTACCATCTTGCCCTCGCGGGCTAACCAATCCAAGCCTTGGAAGCATGCTTATTTTAATGTAGCTACAGTTTCATCCATTTAAATACAAGAAACAAAGTTCTGATTAGTTTCCCCTTGTTGGACCCTCGTCCGCTTCAATCGGTCAGATTTATATCGGTCGTTGAATATTATGTTTCAGTACTAACTACTTTCCGATCGTAAGTAGTTGTGTACTGGGTTTGGTTGCACACATCACCAGTGTGGACAGTTAATTACACGCCTTTGGCGTATTTCGGCATGACACCAACGTGTTTATAAATCCTAATATGTAACAGTTCCATACTATATAGTAACATATATATCATAATCAGTGTACTAGAAAACTCAAAATTGCTAAGTTGGCGAGGATTAAGTCAAGTTTTATTTGCTTCACGAAACCACACAGGCAACGTCTGAGAATTCGCTGCCACTTCCTTTTCTTTGAAAATAACTCTTTTCTTTAGCTCACGCATGAGCATATGAACTCAAACATCTCTCATCTTCTGAAAATCCGCCCACCGGAAGGAGTTCGTTTATCTTCTGTCTGGTTGGTTGAGTCTAAGCTGGTTCGGTTTCTGAGGCAGGCATGGATACGAGTGTCTTCAGCGGAACCGTTGTTCTCGGAGTTAGTCGAGCAGTTTCGATAGTCCACAACAAGAATATAGGAATGGAACTGATAAACTGTTGGCATGCATGCTTTATTGCCTCATTGTCCACATATGGACGTAGAAATGGACAGACAATAATGTGGTCAGCAGTCACGCAAGCCACGTTGGTTACACGTGAAACATGAAAAGCGACCTAGCAACAGTGGATAGAGTAGACGGAAGCAAAAGCTAAGGAAAAAATGCTAACCTTTAAGCGACAACCCATTATGCGGCAAATATAACCAGTATTATATACCTAGTAGTGGTCCTGACCACCCCATCGCGGCTGTTCAACTAAAATGCTTCACGTTCACATTTGCTCATCAGCTCCCAGCCAAAAGGGTTTTTCAATTTGCTAACCATCGTTTAGGGTGGTTACGGTGCTCTTGAAAGATTTCAGTAATCTGTTAGTGCTTAGATTTCTTTTTTATTCATGGACAATGTGAGCACCCTCTACCTTCTTTGGGTGACAGGTAAGACGTAGGTTTAGGCCTACAATCGGGTGGTTACACACAAAAATACCGCCAGAAAAGTGGAGCATTTATCTACTGATATAACTTAGTAGTGTTCCTTTATACAACAAGCATGAATTACCCGAGTTTTTCAGAGGAAGTTCGGAACGAATTTGGTGATGCTCGTTCAAACAGGCACTTTTTGATCACAAAGCCTTACTCACCGAGTCGCTTGGATCAATTGGGTTCAGAGGTGTGGCGCATCTGATGAAAAAATCAGGTACAATTATTTACAGTTAAAGAACTTTCCCTTAAGGACTTCGAGTTGAACATTTAGCATTTAAACTGGCTACGGCTCTCTATCATTATTCTATTGAGCCCTAAGCGATTGGTCGATTGATTGATCAGCTGAAAGAACGAACGACATGGGATATAGGGGAATATTCGTAGCCCAGGTTGGGTAGATGATTACTTCCTGATGGTACCCTCCGGTCAAAGAGTCACGTGAATACCAGCACCGATCCAGTCAGAGCCTAAGCACTGATACAGAGAAAGTACGACACGGCCAATCTGAGTGTAATGAAACATTTACAACTGATGGTATCGTGAGGAGTGTTTGGAATTCCTAATGATGAAACTCGAGAATTCGTGCTTCTCGATTTTACTGGCTTCACATACTCTACAACCACACTGTATATTTCGGTAAACAGAATGATAGCTACCGACCAACTAAATGAAATACTGACAGACTAACTGACCATTTGATTAGGTTACTGACTGGTTGCTGGGGTTACGGGCTTGGACACAGAAGGTAGTTTTATTACGACTAAACTGGAGATCGGTTAGTGATCTGCCTGACTCAAACTGGGTTATGACGTTCAACGCTACTTGCCTGTTCTAGTTACTCGACGGACAAGAGCTCCTTGGATGCTTTACAGTTTGGTAGGATGCAGCATAACGAAAGAGATGTAACCAATCCGTCCGTAGTCCGACTTGACCGACGTATTTCTGGTGGTCAACCACCTACCGACCTGTAATCAAGCCAACAGCTCAGGTGACTGAGGAAGTAAGTAGTTATCAAACTGACTAGTTTACTCGTATTGAACTTTAAACCCCGTGATCAGTGAGTGGACAGTTCAATTTTGGCCAATCGCACCAAAAATCTACATGATTCTACATGTTCCCTACGAGGTAGATAATTCTTCGAGAAGCAGACTGTCTGAATTTGACTTGGTCCTCCGTCGCCTATGCGTTTATTTTAGAAACGATTTGAATTTAGTGATCTTTTGAGGTAGAAGACGGAAGGATTGTAAGTGGCTTTTTTTGTTCAGAAGCAACTTCTGCAATCAAATTCATGATTTTGAATGACAACACTGTTCTTTGAACGAAAAACCAATGTCACACCATCGCCTAGTCCTCTACATACTGTGCTCTCGATTTCACTGACGATATCCTCATTCCAAACGATACACAATGGCTCAGGCCAGTAATCTTCCCACCACATCTTTTAACTATTTTTTAAGCGTAAGGCCCAGTCTTCTCCTTGGTACAAGTAAAACAGAGGAGTGTGGTGGGCATTCTTCACCGAACCCTCTTATGGGGCTTTTGTAACCAGGAAGAAAGAGAGGACGATCCTTCAACTCTAGATTAGACACTGTATAGACGAAAAGCCGGTGAGCCAGCTACCGCCGTCTCCCACCGCCAGAACCAACATAACCCCTGTTTTCCGCCACGTAGATATTCCTGGCCATTCAGGGGGGACTCTATTTACCATCGGTATCACTAACAGTCGTCGCTAGAATTCGAAATCCCGTTGACCCTAACGTTGATTTCTACCGTTCTCCTGGAGTGGTCCGAATGATCGCGCCAATAACTTCCAATGATCTTTTTGAGATACATCGACATATCCATATCCTCCCACACAGTCTCTTCACATCTCCGTTGATAATATGGCCGAGAAGTACAAGAACAATCTCCAAATTTGAAGTCAACCACTGATGATGTTTCTTTACCTTCCGTTTCTAGCGATCAAAAGCAATCATTAGTAAGGGCTTCTGTTATTGCATTACCTGAATGCAACACTTGGAGAATAATCTGAAAATGTCACCAACGGACGAGAGATTTCAGACCTCGTAAAGGGTAACTTCACTGATTCGGGAAACAAAGGAATCTGTTAGACTGTGAGAGCTACGCAGTTCTGACTTTTCGGTCTCGGTTCACACTCCCTCAGTTGATCATGAGGCATTATCACCTTCACCTGATGTCTATACTTGGTTGTTTGCATGTCAGACAGATAAGAAAGGCAATGAAGTTTTGGATCATACTCCAGAACAAGGCTTGAGTAGAACGGGTTCCAAAAGACATGCAATTATGAGCAAACAGCCCCCGATTACCCTCGTGGATTGGACTCATTCCAGTGATTCTTAGCTGTCGGTGTTTATACGCCCAAACAAGTTTTGAGACGTGCAAAATAGCACCGATGGATACTTAAACACCCTATTGGAATCCAAAGGTAAGCGTCATCTATTGGCTGCGCATGCGTCGAATTGAGAAGTGCCAGAATAGTCTCAAAATGGTCTGAACATCTGGTGTATCCTCATTAGGAATTGATTGAGCTTATCTTAAAATTTCAGTCACATTAAATAAAGTACGGTGCAGCGGCTTAAGAAGCTTGGTCCCGATTCATGAGAAACGTGATCGTTCACCCAGACCCTTAACCCTATTTTGTTTTGTGGGCGTCAGTAAACTTCCGTCTATCTCTGTACAATATATTACTTCCCCGGAATAAGGCGGGTTCATAGTCACTCACCCAGCCTTATCAGGCAAGTTCTTCTATAATGTAGACTTTCTTTTTCATAAAAGAAACTACACACAAGGTTGATGAAAGCTCTTCGACAGCCCACGACAGGTTTCGCCCTTCTTGGGGCTCATCAGGTAGGCGAATTCCCCCTTACGTTCTACTTGAGCTCAAATTTTCAAGCAATACACTCATTTGCAATCTCGCATATCGTGCCAACTGAAACATGCCTGTGTGCAGCACATTCAGCTGTAAAATATCATAAACGGGAGATTCAACTGAGTGCCTCGTGAAAAGCAAATTGACTAGCAAATGAGTGTATTTTTCGTAGACTTTCTCTTGTTTTGATGTCAGTGCAATAAATACTGGCCGATCTTCGCTGTACCAGGTTTTCGATCGTTGCGTTTTGTGACTTATATAACTTCCGATGGAGTGAGTCAGTGATGAATGGCCTCAGTGTATCCAGACCGGAGGCTGTCTGGTTCATGAGTTCATTGCATATGCGGTATACAACATGAACTGCACCATGGCAGATAGGCGAATTCCCCTTACGTTCTACTTGAGCTCAAATTTTCAAGCAATACACTCATTTGCAATCTCGCATATCGTGCCAACTGAAACATGCCTGTGTGCAGCACATTCAGCTGTAAAATATCATAAACGGGAGATTCAACTGAGTGCCTCGTGAAAAGCAAATTGACTAGCAAATGAGTGTATTTTTCGTAGACTTTCTCTTGTTTTGATGTCAGTGCAATAAATACTGGCCGATCTTCGCTGTACCAGGTTTTCGATCGTTGCGTTTTGTGACTTATATAACTTCCGATGGAGTGAGTCAGTGATGAATGGCCTCAGTGTATCCAGACCGGAGGCTGTCTGGTTCATGAGTTCATTGCATATGCGGTATACAACATGAACTGCACCATGGCAGATAATATTGAACTGAAGGCTCTCTGTAAGGTAAATTTATGTGAAATAAGAACTTTGACGTTCTCATCTCAATGTTGAAGTTCAAGCTACTTGTGCCTCCCTACAACCCGATTTGAAGCCTTAATTTGTTCCAAAACTGCAGGTAGTCTTAACCTGGTAGAGTTATCTGGGGCGGTTACGTTCCAACCCACCATATTACCACTAAACTTCTCTTCACTATAATGCTCTACACCTCAAACAGCCTCAGGTCTCCTGTTTCGGGAACACACTAAGCTATCGTACGAGGATCATCAAGTACCTCGGAAGAATAAAACACGAGCTAACCATGCTTGCGATTTATTGTTTACAGTGTAGGACCCAATTCATGCATGCTTTGGGGACAAAAGGCGGATGCACAGAAACGGATAGCTAAGATTTGACAAAGCATGGCTGTCGGCCAGTTTGGAAGAGAGCTGTAATTGCTTCTGGACCTTTGAATTCACTGGGAGCTTCTACTAGATGAGAGCCTAAAACGAAACACTATTCAGTTCTTGACCCGGAGCGAACTGGTCGGAATAGCTAAGGTCAGGGAGCAAGCAAGTGCAAACGCGAATAATATATTCTGATTACCCATGCAGGGGAAGTTCCTTTGCTGGAATTGACTAAGCGCTATCTTTCAAAATGGATATTTGAACCACAAGGCATTCGGTGGTAGTGTTTTATTCTGGTATCTAAGTTGGGCTAATCACACACTAATATGACCAGTTTGGCCGCGGAGGTCTACCTATTCCGATGGGACGGGGAGCAAAACACGGATGCCCGACTGGTACCGCTCCTTTCACTCAACCGTAAAGCCGATTCGGTGCCCAGCTGCTAGAAGCAAGGTGGCTTGGATGCTGTCATTTCGTCCAAGCCTAGACAGGAGCAGTTTAGATGCCGGGATTGAGGTCAAACCATGAAAATTTTTCTAAGTTCACGCCTTAACCAATGAGCAATCTCGAGCTCACTACTTTTTGAGCACAGCAAATGCTTTTGGTGAGTTCATGAGCGGCTAGATTCTTGTTAGGTTTAGATAATTTATACATACTATTTGATAGTTCACGGGTGGTCACGATCAACTGTTGGGCAAACGTATTGTGAAACTTTTGGCTAGGGTGTTTTCGGATCCGTTCTTCTTCCGTGAAAGGTGGCACTACTGTGATCAATAATGAATGTGCTCATCAAACAGGAGAGATGGCATCTACTTACACACCGTTACCACGGAGACAAAAGGATTTCAACTGCAAGCCGCTACGTGAAACCAACACGCCTTTTTGTTGCTACTCTCTTTTGGCCTCATAGGAATTTCCGGATCTTACAGAGCGAGGTTCCCGCAGCAACGCCTAGGTATAAAAGCTTCACCACCAGCTCAACTCAGAACTTCTAGGTCTTGAAAAGATCGTCACTTCTAACCGTAATGATAGCCTTTTGATTGCAAAACACCCGGGTTAGCACTTGTTGGGTTTCACGCTCCCTTATTTTGTCAACTGTAATCTCTAGTGGCACCAAACTGACGCTGTTCTTGTTGGAGTTGTGTGGCGGAAGTGAAGGCGGACAAATGCAACCGGCAATTTCTAAGTGGTAATTTCGCTTATTTTTCTATTTAGACCCATTTATTTTACGCTGCACTGTTCATCAACACTATGTTATTCCGTGACTTCTGCTACTTCAGTGCAAATAGAAGCTGGATGAAATATGCAAGAATTGTATTCCCGCCTGAAACATGAGAACAAACGTCCCGCCGTTTAAGCTGGCAGTCTGAGTGAGTAGATCACAGTATGACAGCAAATCTGTTCAGGCAATGAACAGCCGACCATATAGATTCGGTTTGAAGTGTACCTTGGGAGGCTGACCTTTAGAGGCGGAAGTGATTGAGATGATGGAGATATTCAGTCAAGTGTTATGAGGGAGCACAATTTCGTCCCAAATGTTGTATGTATTAAACCAGGTGACTGATACCTGCTGCGTGAAGCGTAAACAGACGTATAAAAGCTCGTCTCAACTTTCAGGCTCGTGTATGGTAAACGGAGTCCACGAGTGGCTTGTAGGCATGCCTGAATGAGCATGTTAATTTTGCCACACCGTTCGTTGGGGCGAAATATAGGGTTCTTGGAAAATATGTTTGCCGGAAGACTTATCATATCGGTTCAACGCACCGAATGGCATAACATTAAGCTTTCAAAGATGTTCAGCCTGTTCGTTCGGTCATGTCATTAAATCCAGCCTATCATTGGATGATGCATGAACTCAATCTTTTTTAGGCCTGTGATGATCAGTTGGAGGACAAACCGAGCTTGAGGTGTGGCAGATACATGCTGTAAACTGGATATTCGGCAGAGAAGTATGGTTTATCTAGAAAAACAAACGCTACTGCTTGCATCAAGTATAAACTATGGGTCTACTAACTCAAACCTACATTTGAAAGCTGATTCTATGGGCAGGGTTCTCGTGGCCAGAATATGACTTGCCGTCTTATCAACACTTGTTAATCATTCCTCTTGGAATTATTTTGAGATGAAGTCCACCTAAAGGGAAAGTTTGCATAACTGTCGACATCATACTAATAAAAATGGTGCAGAAGATTTTGAGAAAAGTTCCCCGGCCCCCACAAACTTGAAACTAATAATCCATACCCTTTAATTTAATTGAAGTTGATGGAAAAGGCCTAAAAACATCTTCAGTCGTGGCAAAAGTGTTGCAAAATTCTTCCATTTTGTGTATTTTTGAAGAAACTGGATTCTTCCGGAAGATAATACAACTAAGTGCAAACTAACAGTCAGAATGTCAGAATGGAAAAATAAAAGGTGCAACCATTCGCTTAGACTTCTTGAGAGGAGCTTTGAACCTATAAAGGATGTAAAGGTGAAATGGTGCCCACAGGACTAATTTGCGTACATATCAGCAACTGGTACCCATATATTCACAATAACAAATATGTTCACGAGGCAAATACCATAAAAAAACTAACAACAAAAGTAAGACTACCGATTAGTAGATAAGTGCAACCGGCTTGATGCTTGTAGAATTCACGAGTAAAATCACTAGTTCCGACCACAATAAATGTTTCTAAATGGTCAAGATAGGAATGTTGATCGTACAATATATTTCACCCTAGAGACGTGGCTGTCTGCTCATGATCACATGTATCGACTGGTATAAAGTTATCGGTCGGTAAACATCAGTAAAATTCACAGAGCCTTCCCTTGTCACACTTCTTCAGTGACATGTTCGCCTGTAACTGTGAACCAGTTTCGAATATAAGCAACAGGTTAATGCATACCTTTAAGTGAAAAAATGCTGCTTTCATTCATCTTCACTGGTAGCTCACAAATCATTTGTGCGCAAAAAAATATTCAGCAGTGATAATGTGGAACTCTTGACAGCAATTAACGTTAGCAGAGTTTTTAACTTTTTTTTGTTGTTCCTAGGTAGAAGGGCCACTTGGATGTCGGTGAACAGACGTAACACGCTACTTCAAAGGTTACCCAAAAATCCTGCAGCCCATGGTCGATTTCGCCCTTCTTGGGGCTCATCGGGTAGGCGCAGTCTTGGAGCTTCTGTGAACGGTATGTTCCACTTGAAACAAAATTGGACATGTTTTGACAAATACTCTCATGTGAATACGAATTTAATTTGGACAGGGCACTCAAATGAAGCCAGGTGCATCTCTCGGTTGCGACGCTCGAAGAGTTTCAAGCAAACTTGTAAGTAGTGTGTTAGAAATGGACAGCAAGGTACCACGGTGCACTGAATATCGTACCAACTGAAATATGAGGCTGCCTAGTGCAAAACATTCAGTTGTAGTGCATTATCACAAAGCAAAAAATTCAGCTGGATTCGGTTGAGTCAAAACCAAATTCGTTTGCAAATGAATATATTTGTTAGTCTCCCTGGATATAATTTTATAGTGCTATACAAATTGCATTGTTTTTCTTAAGGAGGTAAAAGAGAGTAAACTTTTTGTAGTTCGATATACTTTGCCGCATTCCGTACAGCTGCTAATGTGAAAAAAACTTATAAATGTCACGAAATTGATAGAGAATAAGTTAAATGTGTTGAAAATGTCTTCTTGATACTGTTCACTTGAGCAAAATGGAACAACCTCAAGGTTACCGATCTTGCGCGCACAACTAATGGTTGCCCAATTCAAAGGGTACAAGCCGTCAAAACTGTTAACAGTGCGAGCCAAAAAGGGCTGAGCGACGGGCCTCTGATCTCTCTATTCCTCAGAGGGGCATTTAAGTTAAGTTTCACGCAGCGCTTCACACTTTCAGTCGCTCGACCACCTAATTCATCAGTCGGTTAGCTGTTCAAGATTCATCATCCTCTAACTGGTTCTATGTTTAGAACTTATTTGTAGGTTATTCGACCGGGCCCTCGACTTGTGACAGAAATATTAAAAGGCTCCAGTTTCGGTACCAAGTAATAGTGGGCCGATTAAAATAACCTATTTGTCCGAATCCAGTCTATGGGCCGTAGTTTGGAGACCCATTTAATGTATCACGCGAAGACTTTGTTTTTTGGTATGACCTGAACTTAGATCCATGCGGCTGGATACGCTTAAAAATGGCGACACATCGATCCCAACGGCCGTCTTATCATTTTCCATCCAAAGATTGTGGATAAGTGTCTCGAGGTGTAGGAACCTCCGAATGGTTGTTTGGCTAGTGCCAAGTCCCAGGCTCATCCATTTTTATCCCTTTCTCCACAAACATGCTTTCAAGTCATGGTTGCATGCGGCAAAGCATCAATGTTAAACACTGATGTACTGTTGATAAGGATGAAGATGTGATAACACGTTCGACTCCAGGAATATGTCACGTGTGGTTACTAAAGTCGAATTCTCACTACAGATATGGCCTTCATGGAACATTGTCACGGCTCTTGGTAATTAGGGGTCATTTTTCTCCATTCGATACATTCTTTCATGGAAGATGAAAGTCAACTAAGGAGAAACTGCTCTCTTGTGGTTGCCTGGCCCCGTGGTTCAGGGATGAATGGCCTTATATTCTGTCCAATTATGAGCCGACCACTGTACTGATCAAAAGCTCACTGCCAAGCTGTGCAGTCTTCAACTACTAGCCAGGACCCCAATGAGGATAAGACCGCCGCACAACACTTCTCGGCTTCTGAGCACAGATTGACATATTTCACAGGACAAAATCTCCGCTAAGCATGTTATTTCACATAGATGCGAACCACCGAAGTGAAGGGGGTCAAGTCGGTACTACAAGGTAGATTTCGTCGCCATCGTCTCCGTTCAACTTCAGCAATGCACCGCCTAGGAAACTTCTCGCCCAAGAACTTGCTCGATTGCAGCATTATGTGAAGAAGGTCCATCATGCCAAAAACACACCATTCATCGTTCAGCAAGACAGCTTATTCAGAAGTCCACCCAAATGTACATAGTTAATGGGTCTATTTTCACTTAACTGTAGCTTTTGCTTCAAAATGTATGACCAAGCTAACTGCATGTACAGTATTCCAGCTAACAATATTACGCTGAGGTTGTGAGGGTTCTCGAACACCACGACAGGCTTTAGACTCACTTGTGTCCAAAGAATCGTCCTTCCTTTTAGGACGATACACGGACTCGTCAGTCAGTGCACTTCAAACACTCACATTGTTTACGATCCAGGTGCAAAATGTCTTACCATATACAGCGCACGGGTTGTTTAGTTTATGCACCGGTTTCGCTTTGTAAATGTTAAAGCCTCAAGCGATCGGTACTAAATATCACATTGAAGTGCCAAACTGTAGAAACAGTGGTACCGCGCAGTTTGATCGTTACAAGAGGTGGGATGCAATAAAGAACTTAAGCAAATCTTTGGGTTTGTCAAGACATTTCTTGTTTTAAAATGATCTCGTGCTGTAAAACTTTCTGGGAATCCTCCAAAAATAACTACATGTCACCGAAATCCTGCCTGTAGGTCTAGCATCGTAAATTTTGTTTTCCTTCACGATAATCTGGTACCTTATGCGACAAATGTCCAGAATCATCCTCCTAGCCTAACTGCTAAACACAAACAGAGGACTGCACCACAAGGATGTAAGGCAAATTTCTGAGGAGCTAAGAAGGCGAACGAAAGGAATCCGACTACTAGCTTGCCTTGTGCTCATTTGTCATGTAGGTCAGCGAAAATAGGTTTTGTAGCAGGTGACGCTTAAATTGAGATGAGCTTACATTCTCTGGCAGGCTCACTTGGCATACACAATACATCAGTGGTGGTAAACGTTTCAGTGATCCATCATGAAATAATCTGAACTTCCCGCTACATTGAACTGTGGGAATTCTGTCAGCATCTGTGTAAATACCTTGTTTGTTCTGTTCAAAAGACATTGTTGGTATCGGCAAACTGTGCCTGAATAGTTTTCTGCCATGTAAAGTACTCTGGATAGCTGATTAACATTGAACAGGTTTAAAACGTCCCTGTTTAAATTGATAGAAAGTGGTCAGTGTGATGCCACTTGTGGTGAAATGGACAGTGCAATTTAACGGTTCGATTTATATATCATATCATATTGATAATTAGTTTGGAGATCACCCAGTCAATCTTCTTTCGTTTGAAGTACTCTCCCATCCGAAGCAACATATTACCCAAACAATGCACAAAATGGAACAAATTACCTGGATTTGTGTCACCGGAACAAATCTATGCAAAGTAAAAACTGGGGATTGCACCTTGCCTTCACAACGCTGTGGGAAACGGGCAGCAGAATCCTGTCGAGAAATTCCTCCACTGCCGTACCTCCTATTGCTAGAATGTTTTGCAGTATGAACAGTTGTGGAGTAAGCGGTACATAACACATCGCGCGACTGTAACGTGGGTTTAGTCAGCCACTCCGCTGAATAGAGCCGTGGTTCAGAACACCATATTTATACAAGTTGAGGGTGACGAACCTTAAAATGACACAAATTAACTATAAGCAAGCTCCTTTATCAGAGTTTTCTACGTGCTTTCGAGAAATCCGCCGTGATTATTAGTGTGCCTGTTTGAGCAAGGTTTGCCTTACCAGAAGAGAGAGGTTATTCACAACGCAACAGTTAATATCATGGTCATATGTAAAATGAAATTTTGTTTTGCTAAGGAAAATCTCTAGGTCAGCCTGGACTGAATTATGTAAAATGAAGCAAACCCAAACCCTAAGCTGAGAAAACGAGTTCTTCCCTCAATATCCCAATTGGTGGTACAATACTTGTCATGGAGCTGCTGAGCTCAGCGATCAGGTTAACCTCCGACTTCTGCATATAATTAATTGCTGTAACAATTATTAACATCTATTGTGACCGAAACTGGTTTTCACAACATGCTACTCATGGCAGATGAGGCGAAGTGAATAGTTTTTGATAAAGGTTTCTACCAACAGAAGCACCAACTACTCCTAAAACATCTCTTTTAAGTGTGCGGACTCAAAGCAAAAAGTTCTAAGTGAGTGGCCATAAAAAATGCATATTCCATGTGGACCTTGAAATAAGCGTGTTTATAGTAAGAGCCACTTACAATTGACAGCCGATTCGAAGGTTCGAAACTTGGCAAACCACTAAATGTTGCTATATTTTTTATCCACGGAGATAGCAAAGCCAAAATCTGAATCGAACCGTTGGTCGAAACCTGTTAAAAACCCACATCCATGCGATCTTTCACACGACCATGCACAAACACTTGCATTCACATCCACATGTACGCGTATGCATATGCAGACGGGACAAACATACCTGCTTCCAACAGAGTCCAACAGATTGGACAAACCGTGTGAGCGACATCTTATTCGCGTCTGGAATGTACGGTTCTGTTGTATCCCGGCTAACCAAAAACGACCATCAAACCACTGATGGAGCCGAAAGGTCAAGATGAATATGTTACACCCTGAGGACGTCTGGAGTGCGTGCGCGCCCACAGTATATTATGGTCAATCTGTTGTCATAACCGATGTTGAGTGATGGCCTCAGTGGTTCATAGACAGACAGAGACTGTTGTTGACTGACAAGTGTGGCAAGCAGTTTGGTCGTTCGATATGTGTAAACCATCGTGATAATAACAATACTGGTAATGTTTGTAGTGCTGGAGACGACAACTGTGGGTGCAAGCACAAGAGAACTAGAAACATTGCGTCCCAAATCGGTGTTAATTTATACCAAAGCAGATTATTCGTTTGAAGTCGCAGAATAGTTGGCATGCACTGCCGGGACAGGCCAGGGAGAAGGCTGGCAGTCCAGTCTTTCTTAGAACGTTTCACCAAGTCCATAGTTTTCATTGTAGACTGAAACACGAATACCTCAGCAACGATATATTGTATATGATACGAAAACATAACTGGCAGTAGTCTACCTTCTTCTGTACCAGTGCCGCAGTGATATTCAAAACTTCAACTATGCGCCAGATCTAGCTTTTCAGCTACGTAAGGTTGAATCCTTGAATGAATGTTTTCAAATCGGCTTCCTTACCTTTATTTGCTAGACATGTTGTTTCTTCTGCATCTTGAAACATTCCACCGTAAACGTAGAGAGGAGGAACTGTCTGTTGATTTATCTACCTCACTACCCTGACTAGCGCCGCCGCTCAAAAAAGGAACCGATACCGTTGCTAGCTACCAGTTTGCTCTGCTGTCCTGATCGAATCTGGGAAGCCTGACAGCTGTGACAGCAGAGGTGTTGGTAATTCCTGGACTAAAACAACCTTAGTTCGGTGCATCGTCATTTGC